CCTTTACTTTTACTTTTTCCACATCAACTAAAATGCATCTACATTTAGAAAGACGAGCAAAAGTGTAAAAGACAAACATCATTTATTGTTATTTCTTAATTCTTGTACCGGTCAAAGTTTGCAATTTAATTCCGGAGGGAAGGAGTATAACATAGTTTTGGGTTTGATTCGTGAAGTCAAATTAATAACAAAAATGATGTTTGTACACACTCTTATACACACTTTTGTACACACCTATGTCTGTGAAAGTTTTTTTTTTGTCTGTGAACGGGATTCATAGACAAAAAAAAGCTTCACAAACATGGTGTGTATAAGATGTGTACAAGAATTCATTTGAATGTCTTCTGGATTGAAAGTTTAGCTGAAATTTAGTATGAGTAAATTAGACTTAATGAATAATATGCTCAAAAAATTGCATCAAAAATTTCCACTGGGAACCATCCCAAATGATGACGGCAAGAGATAGCCTCCTATATAAGGGCTTATTTGGCCTTTTTTGGTTAGTACGTGGGCTTATTTGCCCTTTTTTCCTAAAAACATATATGGAGTATTAATATGTACTCCCTCCGGTTCTTAATTAATTTTACATTATCCTTTTTGGATCGTCCCATATTAAACTTTACACTTCCTTATTTGCCTTATTTGGCAAACAAATCTACATCAAGCAGTGCAAAACAGTGTCAAACAGTGTCAAACAGTGTATTTTACAGTAAAGTCAAATTTATTTCTTTAATATGTGTGATGTCAAAGTGTAAACTTCATTAAGAATCAGAGGGAGTACATAGTATATTTGTATATAATTAAGAATAGTTATTCTTCACTATAATAAAATGATTATAATGCTTAGAACGAATTTTTCTATATTCAAAAATGCTACTCCGTATTTGGTACTTTAGTATTTTTGTATATACTAATTAAGAATAGTATTTTTTTGCATTTAAAATATTTAAATATAGTGTTGAACAAGAATAAAGTATTCAGATTTGAGTATTTAGTAAGCATTTTTAAATATTTAATATTCAAATATGTAGTAAAAATTATAGATTTGGATTTTCGAATCAATCAATCAATAATATCATTTGATATTTATTTGTACATCTATAAGATATTTAGATATGACTTTCTTTCTAGAGTAAGCATTCAAATATATCACAAACTCCACATAGTTTTTCAAACGTAAATATAAACTACTCGCATTATAAAAATTATTAAGTATTGTTTGAGCATCTTTTTAATTTTATTTTATATTTCAATTTTATATTCATAATAAGATAGTACAATAATAGAAATAATATGTACTACTACTCCGTATAACATTTATTACTCCCTCCGTCCTACAAAGATTAGTCAAGTTTGACTGACATGTAGAATAATAAAACACAAACTATACGATTAAGACCAGGGACGAATCCAGGAAATTTGACCAAGGGGGGCGAATTCGCAAAATTTTATACGGTCATACGGAATTTACAAAATGTAGCATATATTTGCTAAAATGTTTAGAGTACCAAATGCATAATATTTTCAAAATTATGAAAGTTGGGCATTCTAAACTCCACTCTACGATTTTTTAAAAGATCAAAGTCATCAATGATAGAATCTGTTGAAAACCTCCGAGCTATATCTCTCTCTATATATGTCACCAGGTAGCTTGAAAGAAAGTCATCCTCCATTTTATTTCGGAGTCAAGTCTTCACAATTTTCATGGCTGAAAATGCTCTTTCTGTGGTTGCCGTTGAAATTGGAAGAGTTAGTAAGAGACGGATTATCCTATCAACAAGAGGATAAATGGTTGACTTCCGAGTCTTCGTCATTAATTCACACAATTCCGCTAGTGTTGATGCTTTCTTCAACTCTAGATTTTGTTGAGCATCAAATTTGAAATGCTCCTGCTGAATCCTCAAGTGTTCCTTTTCCATTGTAGAGAAATCATCAGGATAAAACTTGTTCACAAGTTTGCATACATCTTCAACCTGAAAAGACTTTTATAATCATCTCTTGGATCCAAAACAGAACTCAGAACAAGTAACTCTACTACATCATCCTTGAAGCGATAATTCAGCTCTAGCATAAGCTTATCCACAACAGAGTTAAATATATCAAACTTATAGTGATGCTCCAATGTAAGACAATCTCTGTTGTTTCTTTGATGGCGGGGTCAACCTCGCCCAGCTTTGTATGCAGCACTGAAATTTGGAATTTCTATTCCATGTTGAGAACAGAATAACTTCACTTTTTCAAGTAAGAGATCTCATTCATGTTCTCTCATTTTTTGGAGAAGCTCTTTTTTTGATGACACTAAATGCATTGCATTTAGTATATCTTGAGATTTACGCTGCAAGGCTTGAGACAAATCATCTGTCACTGCAAGCACATCAATCATGAGATGTAAAATAAACACAAACTCAAAAGATGTTATCACATCATACACTCCATCGGCTTCGCTCCTCTGTGTCATGCTCCCAGATTTAATTATGTCTCGCAACACATCACAAGTAGAATTAAACACTGGGCCAATATTTTATTTGCACCGGGCCAGTATTTTATTTGCACTGGGTCAAATCTAAATATTTTTTATAATTAAAAATTTAATGGCTAATCCTAATTTATATTTTTCCTATAAGGTAAGAAATTTTTCTATGACCTAAGGGGGCGATTTTGAATATTCTGATCAAGGTAAAATTCAAAAAATACGAGAATACTACATATATATATACTAAAAGAAAATTCCAAGGGGGGCGACCCCCCTAAATCCATCCCCGAATAAGACATGTGTAAATAAGAGAGAAACTACTTTAACGTCTTTTAAGGAGAAATATTTTTAGGACGGCTAAAGAGGAAAATTTGTCCAAGTTTAGTACGTAGGATGAAGGGTGTATATATTAGTTAATACGGAGTACTTTATAATAACATTTCAACTTATAAGAAATGTACTATAACTTTTAAGGAGCTTTGTTTAACTCCAACCTTTAGTGGCGTGCTCGATGACTGATCAATTGTTCTTAGATACACTCAACTTTAGAACCGAATCGAGTCATTTTGTATTTGTCTTTGTTTAATTTTTACGAATATGAATTCGAATTCAAATATGAAATGAATAATAATTTTGAATTGTATGTATATGTATTTGTTTAACAATGTGAATAATTAACGAATCATATATGAATATCGAATCGATTTGAGTATAAGTTAAATATTAGTCAAATATCACTCTAAAAAAACTTTGTTGTCTCGATATATCACTCTATAATTTTGAAAATATTATGCATTTGGTAATCTAAACATTTTAGCAAATATATGCTACATTTTGTAAATTCCGTATGACCGTATAAAATTTTGCGAATTCGCCCCCCTTGGTCAAATTTCCTGGATTCATCCCTGGTCTTAATCGTATAGTTTGTGTTTTATTATTCTACATGTCAGTCAAACTTGACTAATCTTTGTAGGATGGAGGGAGTAATAAATGTGATACGGAGTAGTACATATTATTTCTATTATTGTACTATCTTATTATGAATATAAAATTGAAATATAAAATAAAATTAAAAAGATGCTCAAACAATACTTAATAATTTTTATAATGCGAGTAGTTTATATTTACGTTTGAAAAACTATGTGGAGTTTGTGATATATTTGAATGCTTACTCTAGAGAGAAAGTCATAACTAAATATCTTATATATGTACAAATAAATATCAAATGATATTATTGATTGATTGATTCGAAAATCCAAATCTATAATTTTTACTACATATTTGAATATTAAATATTTAAAAATGCTTACTAAATACTCAAATCTGAATACTTTATTCTTGTTCAACACTATATTTAAATATTTTAAATGCAAAAAATACTATTCTTAATTAGTATATACAAAAATACTAAAGTACCAAATACGGAGTAGCATTTTTGAATATAGAAAAATTCGTTCTAAGTATTATAATCATTTTATTATAGTGAAGAATAACTATTCTTAATTATATAAAATATACTATGTACTCCCTCTGATTCTTAATGAAGTTTACACTTTGACTTCACACATATTAAAGAAATAAATTTGACTTTACTGTAAAATACACTGTTTGACACTGTTTGACACTGTTTTGCACTGCTTGATGTAGATTTGTTTGCCAAATAAGACAAATAAGGAAGTGTAAAGTTTAATATGGGACGATCCAAAAAGGATAATGTAAAATTAATTAAGAACCGGAGGGAGTACATATTAATACTCCGTATATGTTTTTAGGAAAAAAGGGCAAATAAGCCCACGTACTAACCAAAAAAGGCCAAATAAACCCTTATATAGGAGGCTATCTCTTGCCGTCATCATTTGGGACGGTTCCCAGTGGAAATTTTTGATGCAATTTTTTGAGCATATTATTCATTAAGTCTAATTTACTCATACTAAATTTCAGCTAAAACTTCAATCTAGAAGACATTCAAATGAATTCTTGAAAATAACTGCGCAATTATCTTCAAGAATTTATTTGAAAGCGCAGTTATTTTCAAGAATTTATCTTCAATCCATTCTTTCCCCTTAATTTGATTTCCCTTTGTATTTTACAAGATGAAATTTTACCGTTCTTAATAAAGTTTACACTTTAATGAAGCCTCTTATATAAGAACTTATTATTTATCCTTTTTCGGTTTTTCCCGTGATTTTTACTCCCTCTGTCCTAATTTGATTTGCAAAATTTCCTTTTTTCGTTGTCCCAAAATGGTTTTCCACTTTCTATTTTAGGTATGTAAATAAGAATAAAGTGATAAATTTACCTTTACTTTTACTTTTTCCCCATTAATTAAAGTTCATCTACATTTAGAAAGACGAACAAAAATGTAAAAAACAAACATCATTTATTGTTATTTCTTAATTCTTGTACCAGTCAAAGTTTGCAATTTAATTCGGGAAAGAGTAACATAGTTTTGGGTTTGATTCGTGAAGTCAAATTAATAATGTCAAACGACGGCACCGTCAGTTTTAATTAGCAAAAATCTCCAACGTTGCCTTGTACTACTGCAAGAATCTCCTACTTTGCATCGTTCATTCGCGGTCCGAATCCCCCACATCTCCACCACTTACTCCTGCAAAAGTGTAGTCCGCGATCCTTACCCTGCACCCTCGGTCATTCTCATGGATGGCTTCTACCTCCTATTTTCTTTCTTGAGTTTGGGGTTTAGATCCTTCTGACTTCTTTTCGCATTCGAAAAGCGGCTTCTTGTGTTCTGTTCTCGTACGAATGGTTCCAGTCTCGATGCTCACTTGTATGTTGTAACTGCGCGAAGTGCAAGCAACAGCTGCCAGATCAAGAATGGAGATTTTGGGTCGGATTATCATCTGCTCCATTCTTATTTTCTCCATCGCATCTGGGTCATTCTCCATTGACGCTGATTTTAATCGAGCGTAAGCCTCCGATAGATTCCTCTACGTGCCATTTTAGTCTCTTATTTACTTTGAATTATTTACTTGCATGCATTGAGGTCTTCTTGGTATCCAATGTGCTATCTATGTTTCTCTTTAATCTTTTCCGAGTTAAAAGTCCGATCTTGATTTCACAGTCATCGGTTTTAACTTACAGAGTATTAGACTGGTGTTCCTGATCCATTATTTATCTACATTGTTATTGGCAGTATATTTAATTTGGTATTAACAATGTAAAGATTGTAGTTGGCATTTTGTTCCTATAACCTTGTGGATGGTTAAATCCAATAAAATTATGTGGGGAGGCATGGTCTTGTAAGGCTATATTTGGCCTGTGGAAAAACCGAAGAGAAAAGGGGAAAATATGATAAGGAAAGTAGCCTTTTCTGTTTAGTTTCATCTTGTAAAATACAAAGGGAAATCAAATTTGAATGAATCTTTTTAAATTTTACATATAGTTTCATTTCTTATTATTTATACAATAGTAAATATACAATTAAAATGTATTTGAGAAAGTATCTAAAATTTATTGATTGAGTTTGAAGCAATTCTTTTTCCCCCAAATTTTATATCCTTAAAAATTTCATCTATTTTCGTCACCATTTTCATACCACAACATTTTCTGGTTCGGAATGGATCCTAGTTCCGAATGGTTCAGAAATTTCAGATTATGAGGATGCAAGAAAGCTAATGGAGGACCTAGGACGTTTTCTTTTGGACTGAAATTTGCTGGTCTGGTCTGTTTTGTTTAAATCCAGTTTGGTCTGAACTGGTCTGGTCTAGTAAACGTCTGGTCTCTGTGTATTTTATAATTTTCCAAGTTTGGTTTGGTCTGTTTAAATCTGGTCTGGTTTGGTCTGTTTAAGTCTGGTCTTATTTGGTATGTTTTGATCTGGTCTGAGACTGAAAACAGTCCGGAAGAAAACATCCCTAGAAGTCAGCACCTCCGGTTGGAGTACTTTCTTGTTTTTTCATTAGTATTCTTCTGGAGTTTGATGTGTCAAATTTATGTTATTGTAGCCTGCTTGTTTTTTCCCTTCCAAATCTATATTTAAGTTGGTGAAAGTGGTCCTTGGTTTACCATGGGCTAGCAATCTATGTACTCTGATTTTGTTCTTGTGTCTTACTGGTTTTGAATTTCGGTTTTGCACTTTCAACAAAGTTGTCCAAGTTTAATTACTGCTTTTCTATGTATATTAATATATTATTCTGTTTCCTGATTTCGTTATTCGCTTTTTACAGATTTCCGATTATAGAGCCAGATCCAGGTCACACAAAACTTCGTCTTTCAAAAGAAGGGTTGGAGGCCATCGAAAGAATAACAACCCCCATTGCAGCTGTTGCTGTAGGTTTTATACTCTCCCATGCTATTATGCATATTTAGAATTTGTTTTCTGATTTTTTTTTTCACTATAAACTGACGTGCGCAAGTTTCCCTATAAAATCTGGGACTGTACACCAAAATAAGAATAAATATGCCTTTTTCTTAGGCCATATAACATTTAAATACCTCTCTCTCACGCTTTCATACTGCAATAGAAGTTTGTATACTGGCATTGCTGCTAAAGGACCTCCTTTTCGCGGTGACTTCATCTTATTAATATGCTACTTCTCTCCCTTTAAAGTAAGTCTTGTGTGGTGCTATAACTTGTAAATGGGTGGCAGGTGATTGGTCCATATCGTTCGGGAAAATCATTTCTTCTAAACCAACTTCTTTCCCTATCTTGTTATGAAGGTGCATCCTATACTTGTTTGGTTAACTTGATATTAACTTTACCTTGATCATTTAAGCAATCCTGTTAAACAACTAAGTTTAGGATTTCCTTATATGCAGGTTTTGGCGTTGGGCATATGCGTGACACTAAGACCAAAGGTATATGTGGAAGAGATGAAAGAAATTTTATCAATTCAGAATCTGAAGGTTATGTTCACTATCAATAAGGGACCTGAAAGATTAAATGTGTCGATATAGGTGTGGGGATTGATAAACTTCCTTATTGATAGTAAACATTTTTTTCAGGTCCTGGATTGATAAACTTCCAAGATAAAAATAAATTAAATGAGTCTTTGAATAATAACACTAGTGTTAGCTATATGTAGTTAATGTATGACCTTTCCCAATCCTTCTTCAGGAATATGGGTGTGGGGAAGCCCCATAATATTAGAAATTGATGGAGTAAAAACATCTGTTTTCTACCTTGACACGGAAGGATTTGAAAGTGTTGGAAAGTCAAATGTATATGACGATAGGTATATACTCTCATATATATTGCTAAAAAAGTAACATGCGCTTATCAGATAATGTTTCTTCATTCATATTTATCTTGATGTTGTGTAGGATTTTTGCCCTGGCAACGGTCTTAAGTTCTGTGCTTATTTATAATCTACCCGAGACGGTATGTTTTTCAGCCTATGATACTTGCACTCAGTTTGAGAGGATGTGCAAAATTCATTTGAAATTAGGGTATCATGATATTAATCCTTCTCATTATTAACTATTACTCCCTCCGTCCCCCTATAATTGGGACAGAAGAGAGTGGCACGCCAACCAAGACAAAAGCAACTTTTTGATAAAGTAACCAATCAAAAAACAAATAACCAATCATACTAAAGTAGATCCCCTATTACTCCCTCATTGAATTTAATTTTTACTTTCCAAAGAAGGTATGAGACAATAATAGTGGGACATCCAAAAATTGAAATATGGGACAATTATAGGGGGGCAGAGGGAATATGTTTTTGAGCCTGACACACCCCTATGATAAATTTGAAATTACTTGTTTTGAAGAATTTTATTGCATTATAATGTTTAGGATTTAACATGCTTTCTTTGTAATGAATTGGCTAATGTTATTTGGTATATTGAGGTCTAATACTCTCCTTATATGTATCACTATCTTTTTACTTTTCTTAATTTACCCTTCCATTTATCATTTCAACCTTTTATTTGCTAGGCCCAACTTTTCTTCTCTTCTCTTCTCTTTGAGAAAGGGTACATTTGTAAACTAACCAGCATTGCCTTTATTTTCTTAAAAAGCATGTCAAACTCAAATATATCTTACTTTATAGGATAGAGGGAGTATTTAGATTTCATAAATCCTTTTTAGTTTCATAATCAGAAAAGTATAGCTTCAAAGACGATGAACTAGGATGCTCTCACTTGCTATTGATCCAGTCTCAGACTAGACCAGACCAGAATCTACAGACTAGACAAGATTTAGACGATAGTAAAATACACAAACAAACTAGACAAGATTTAGACAATAGTAAAATACTCATAAACTATACCTTCAGCAGACTCAGAGAATAGTAAAATACACATAAACCATACCTTTATCATCACTAGACCAGATTCAAAGTGCAAACATCCTGCGTACTAGAGTAGTTAGGACATCGATGATAGTATGTGTTGATAACGTGTTGACATGTTGTAGAGAGCAATAAAATTGACTGATTTGTGTATGTATTAAGATCCGTGAGGCAGACATATCTAGGCTTTCATTTGCTGTTGAGCTTGCTGAAGAGTTCTACGGAAGGTATGCAACTCTTTTTAACTCGATGAAACATTTATTTAGGTTTCAACTCCTTATAGTGTTTTATATATATTTTGTTTACCTTCTGATTGCTTTCTTTGTTTGGCTCTTTTTCATGTGATTACCCTCATGTGCATTGTGCAATGCTTAGAGTAAAGGTGATCAATATAGATAGTTTGCACTTTGTGTTGGATAATAAAACCCTTCGATTAGTTTTGAAGCTCAGTGGGTAAATTTTGTGCAGGGGCAAGATGTCGCATTTGAACCTGCAAAGCTTCTTTGGTTAATCCAGCGAGACTTTCTACGTGAGTAGGGAAAGATCTCTGTCTAAGGGCTTGTTTGTTGCGGAGGTTTCAGCGGGGAGGGAAGGGGACGGATCGTTTTTACGTTTTAGATTAGATTACTTTTAAGCCCAGATGATTGAAACTAAAGTGCAGATAAAAGACTATATAAATACATGATCTAGCTACTCGAATAGTTATTTGTAATGTAGAACTGATAAATAGAGATAGATTAGTTAAGCAACTATCAACACTCCTCTCACCTTCCCTCCAAATTAAAGCAACTATCAACACCTATTTCTGACTCACATATATTACATTATTTATTATATTTAAAGTTAATAAAGTAATAATAGTCAGTTATGTTTAAATTTGAAAAGTGAGCAATTTTTTTTATAAACCCAAAAGAAAGGTATGATTAATTAAACGGTACATGGAGAGTTTTTTTAGGGACACATATTATTACATTTGCAAATAAATATAAATTCAAAATTTTCAACTCAAATAAATAATGTGTGTACGGTGTTTTTATTGTTCATATACAATATTTAATTCTTTTTTAGTTTTTATTTACTCAATTAAATATTAGAATAATAGTCCCTAGCTAATTTATCTTGCTAACAAAATAGTAGAATAGACTTTCAGTTATATTTCCCCTACATTCCGTTCCTTAAAGAATGCATCGTATTCATTCAAAAATCATTTTATGAACCAAATGTTCTTTACAGGAAAAATATAAATGATACCCTTTCTCATAACTTACATGAACCTTCATGGTGTCAATTAATTTAGGTTCCAATCTCCACCTGTTTATTGGTGAGCTGTGTTAGGAATTATCTCATAGTTCATGTAGCTGACCCAGTGATTGGGACTATGGTCTGGTGTAGCTAATTGTTTGATCTCATCACATATCATTGTCTCTTGACCTTTCTCAGTAGCTCCTTTATGCTCCACATATCATTGTGAAACATTACTTTTATGGACATTTGCAGAAGGAAAATCTGTGCAAGAGATGGTTCATGAAGCTCTTCAGCATGTACCTAATAGTGGCGGTTAGTCTGTATTCCACTTCTGTGTATAATAAGATTCATTATTACAAGTAAATGGCTAAATGTTTCCTTATCTACTAAAAACTTAGTATGTTTTTTTTCTTGAACTGCAGGCAACAAAGATATTGATCAGGTAGTTTAATTCTGGAGCTTCTTTAGATTATCAGGGATACGTTGCACATATTATTTAGTGCTTTATCTTATTTTCTATCAGGTCAACAAAATTCGCGATTCTTTAGCTGTAATGGGTGATAGTAGCACAGCCTTCAGCTTACCACAGGTATCTTTTATCTCTTTTCGGTCAATAACATTTACTATGATAATGGAAGTTTTTCAATCTTGGATCTTTGGTGATCTTTGGAATTGCATAAATTCAATTAAAACATACGGAGTAGTACATCTAAAAATAGAACCGTCATTGTTATTTCCTAAAAATAGTAACCAATCAATCCTTGAAACTGAATTTGTAACCACTTTTTTATGATTGAATGAATCCCATTCTTTTAAAATAGTGTGGTCCTATTTGTGCTAGCCTATGTTTTACTCGTTGCATGAAATTCTTTTTTTTCTCCGGTTGGCTGATCATAAACTATTGCAGCTAAGGGTTTTGGCTTGCCTGGAATAAGCTTAGCAAGGATTTATAGAAGCCCTTCTATAAATGCAGTTATGAAGTTTATTCTTTTTATGATTGAGATCCAAGAATGATATGAAAACAATGTCTATGTTATTCTTGTACAGCCACATCTTCAGCGCACAAAGCTTTGTGACATGAATGATACAGAACTTGATCCTTCATATGTGGAGAAGAGGGAACAGCTGAAAGATGTTGTGTCATCAATTATTAAACCAAAGATTGTTCAGGGAAAATCTCTGAATGGAAAAGAGTTTGTGGTTTTCCTTGAACAGGTACTTTTTAAATTATATCAAGTTGGTCATCCTCATCAAGATTTGTTATTGGCTTGGGATAGTTTGAAAAACAGAACTTCTAGTGTATATCTGGAATTTTCTTGAGCCCTACTTTTGTTTTCCTTCATTTTAATGACTTTGGTGTCAGATTCTTGAAGCCTTGAATAAAGGGGAGATTCCAACCACAGGATCACTTGTGGAAGTCTTCAACAAGGGAATTCAAGAGCGGTGTCTTAAACTGTATAGTGGTCAGATGGGAAACCTGCATTTACCAATGCCAGGAGAGTCTTTGCAAAAAGCTCATGAAGATTATAGAGAATCGACTATGAGGGTTTTTGATGAGCAGCATTTTGGTCGTCACCATGCCAAGATATCAGTTGACAAACTAGAAGATGAAATTGACAAGGTTCGAGTTGGTTCCTAAAACCCAAAAAATGAGCAGGACGGTGATACCTTTTGTTTTAAAAAAACATCTTTTAAGAAATAATTAAAGAACATGACAAATAAAAATAACGGGAAAAAAGTGCCTTTTGGCAGTGACCATGATGACCGCTGTGGTATTTTAACAGCGACTCTGATGTACTAGTGGGACCTATTGCTGCTGACATATACCATGAATTAACATTAGTTTTGCTTTTGCTGATTGAGTTCTTTTGGCAGGTGTATAAAAATTTCATTTTGGCAAATGAATACCAATCATCAAAGCTGTGTGAGGCCTTATATACTCGGTGTGAGGACAAGATGGACCACCTTCAAGTCCTTAGACTTCCATCAATGGCAAAATTCAATGTTGGATTTCATCAGTGCAACCAAAGTTTTGAAAAAGAATGTGTTGGACCTTCTAAAAAGAACTATGAACAACGGATGCAAAAGGTATGCTGCAATTTCTTCTGTTTCTAATTTATTTTTTCTTGAAGAATTTATACTTTCACATAACACCACTTATGTTTTTTTCGACAGAATGAAAGTGCTCATTTAGAATGAAGTACTGTTTCTTAATACTTTTTTTTTGCACTTACTCCTTTTAAATTTGCCAAGTCATTTATTATGTCTAATTCCTGAAAAATTGCAGATGATGAACAAGTCGAAGTCTCTATTTATTAAGGAATATAATCACAGACTCTTCAATTGGTTGGTAGCTTTCTCACTAGTCATGGTGGTGGTTGGTCGGTTTGTCATAAAGTTTATTATGGTTGAAATTGGAGCTTGGATACTTTTTATTTTCTTAGAGACATACACGAGGATGTTTTGGTCAGCAGAGTCTTTGTATTACAACCCAGTATGGCATGTAATCGTCACGACTTGGGAAAATGTCGTTTACAGCCCTATCCTTGATTTAGACAGGTAGCAACTTGATCTCTACTCACTTCTCTCTGTGAAAATCAGCTTTACATTAAGAGCCCATTTGGTAAGGCTCAAATTGGATGATTTTGTTGTGGCAGAAATGTCTAAAATTATGTATTGAATTACATCAAGAAAAACTTCCATGTCCCATTTGTCAGATACTCAGAGCTACACTTCTTTTTTTCTGTTCTTGCCATAGTTGTGATCACTTTCCTAAGTTTCACTGAAGTAACTTTCTATTACCCCACTTTATACTATTTCTTTTTTGTGAAGGTTATAATTGTAAAATAACAACTATCTCCTTTAATTTCTACTACGTAAATAATCTTGTTAACCCAGATATATCTTGCATTTTGGATGGAGTAATATACAAAAATAATGCTAGAAGCATCTTTTGAGCCATTTCCACCTAAAAAAGTAACTCATGGACTAATTTTCACTAACAGTCAATTCAGCTGACAATAGTTAGTGTTTGGTGAATAATCGGTCAGATCAGACTAATAAGGCAAAGTTGATGCACATTAAATTGGCTCTAAGCATCATTATCCCCATAACAGTTGAGTTATAGCTTTAAAAATCAACTGTTTGTTGTGACAGATGGGCAACTCCTATTTGTGTGATTGCTGTGTTATTTGTGGTTTACTGGAAATGCTCCGGGAGGAGGAAAAATGGTGGAACATGGCTGTTGCCTTTGTACAGCAGCTCAAAAGATAGGCGTAGATCAGAATAAGAGACGACAATGATATGATGACGGGTTTGGGCTTCACCGATCGATTATATCATCCCACGGCGAGCTTTGTATTTTATTCCTTAAAGCACGCAGGTTTTCTGGAGGAGATCTTTTATACTCATACACAAGTGACCCTATCCAAGGAAAGTCAATAGACCACTTTCTTTGTTGTAACAGTTCCAAATGATTTAGTTTCTCTTTGACTTTGTGAATGCTGTTGTAATAGGCATATTTCATTGATTCTTTCTGGTTTTTTGTTGGTGGCTATTATTCCCAAGATCTGTGAATTATACATAACAGGGAAGAGGGAGAGAGAACGTCACCTTGCCAATTTTGTGAAAGTGGAACATAAACCATATGTTACAACATTTACAAGAACTATGATTTTTTTTTCAACAGTTCCAATGCCCCGCATAGGTGTTGTAGTTAGTGGTGGACTCGGTTCGGGCTGGTCCCGGTTCGGGCCTAGAACCGGCCGGGCCTCGGTTCATGGAAGGCAGGCCCGGAACCGTCCCGGATAACCCCGGGTCCGGTTCGGTTCGGGTCACCCACCCGGTTCATGGACCGGGCCGCCCGCTGGGCCGGGCCTTTTAATTTTTTTTATTATATATTATATTATTAGAATAATTCTTATTACAATTACAATATATTATATTCGAATTCAGGTATATTTATTTCAAATAAGTACAATTAAGAATTAGGATAAATTTAAAAAATGTAATACATTTTGTAATAAAAAATCAATCGGAATCTCCGCCTTCGGTTGTTTCCTCCATAAAGTGGTGGGTGGGAGTGATGGTAATTTCTTTAGTTCTTCGTTGGGCCTTCAACTAGGGATGGACTCGGGCCGGGTGGCCCGACCCGGGACCGGTACTGTTCCGGCTCGGCCCGACCCGGTGGCCTGGTCAGTGACCGGTCCGGGTAGGCCCGGCCCGTGGGTTTTCCGGTCCGGGTTCGGGTCACCCAAAACAAGGTCTGACCCGGCCGGGCCCGGTTCGGGCCAAAAACTATTTTTTTTTTCTTTTTTTTCAATTTTTTTTAAATTTTCGGGTTGGGCTGGGTATTTTGGGCCATTTGGGGTGGTTTGGGGGGTTGGGGGTTGGAGGGGGTTAATTAGGAAGAGGAAAACAAAAAAAAATATAATGGGCCCGGCCTGGCCCGGACCCGGACCGGACCCGGTGGTTACCCGGGCCGGTCCCGGGTCCACCATTTCTGACCCGCCGGCCCGGACCCGAGTCCATCCCTACCTTCAACCAATCGTGAAAGCAAACTAGTGTCTCAAGAGAGTTCGGGTTCAACCTCGTTCGATAATCGGTTAGGATGTTGTTGGCCGCACTAAATTCTTGTTCCACGACAACGATTGATATCGGCATTGTTAGCACTTGCTTAGCCATTTTTGATAAAATCGGGAATGTTCTTTCATTTTCCTTCCACCACTTAAGAACGTCAAAGTCATCACCAACTTCATAATCAACATTCAATGTTAGATACAAAGAAAGCTCGTTACCTGAGCTTTGTTCAGCAGTGGGAGTTGCTCTACTTTTTTTCAAAAGAGAACCAAAAGCGGATTTTAAAAGTGATTTTCCTTTAGATGAAGAAGATGTTCGTTGCATGGGAGGGGTGCATTACCATATTGTGCATGAAATTCATTATACAATTGATGAAATAAATTACTAACCTCGTTGAATTCTTGTTTAGGGTCGATGGGATTATCATCGAACTCTTGAGTTGGAAAAAAAGAAGCATAATAGTAATCTATACAATTTGCCAAGTAAGCAAGTTTATAACGAGGATCAAGAACAAATGCAATACCATATATATGCGGAATATGTGAATAATATTTTAAAAACTTTTGTTTCATGAAATCACAAAAATAACTAACGTAAGTGGCTTCGGAAAATTCACAAAAAGCGCCGGCGAGATTAACAACTTCAACAAAAAATTCGTTTGCGGTAGGTTTATAAACATGACTAAAAGTTAGAGTTGCGTTATTAAAATATGCCAAAACATTAACAATTTTTTCACAAGTGTCGATGTCAGTCGGGTTTATAATATAGTTACAAGTTTGTCTTAAAAAAGCAGGAAAATGATCTTTATATCTAACAAGTACTTGAATTAAATTATAAGTACTATTCCAACGAATAGACGAATCTTTAGGAAAAGCACAATAATTGACACGTCTATCCTTCAAATATTGCCGCCATTGCATTTTTAGTGGAGTGCTAGCTCAAATCAATTTAATTCCCCCCTTCACTACCTCCAAAGTATTTCCTAATGCCGCTAAGCCATCTTGTACACACAAATTTAGAATATGACATGCACAACGTTGATGAAAAAACCTACCCATCAATGTAGAAGCACCACACAATTCACGTAATCTAGGTATAGCAGCAGTATTATTACTAGCATTATCAAAACCTACAGCAAACACCTTATCAATCAAATTATACTCAATTAAAATACGTTCAATGAGAATATAAATATTATCGGCAGTGTGACGATCATTGAATTCACGAAAAGCAAGAACACATTTATGCATATTCCAATCATCATCAATATAATGTGCAGTAAGACCCAAATAATATAAATGATGATAAGTATCCTCCCATATATCGCTACAAATACTAACACGTCCATCAAAGTTTGCGAAAAATATTTGTAATTTTTCTTTTTCCAAGTTATATTGCCTTATAACTTCTTTTTTAATCGTTTTGCGACTATAATTTCTAAATTGAGGATTTAAAGTACCTTGAGCATAATCTATTGAATGTATAACAAATTGTACTTGTAGTCATAATGTTTAGTAATAACAAATTGAATGTATTCAAATGATAGGTAGTACTCTATTCAAATGATAATTATTAATAATAATATTACAAATTTGGAAGAGACATATTCAATATAGAATCTATAGTTCACTTAATACTTCTAGCTTTTAAAATGCCTCTTGTATCAATTATTTGGTGTTCAAAAGTATTATGCATCTTTTAATTTAATTTCGGGAAGTTGAAATCTTAGAAGCTGAATAAAACTAGTTAGAGGCTTAAATATGAATAGATCTCTTATTTTGCACGTAAAATAAAATGAGTTTGAAGATTTGGATAAAAAAATTAATTTAATTTTAATTTTATCTCTATTTGACTTAATTTTAAATATTTATGCTCATTAAAGTTTGAAAAAGACTTGCAGCATGGCCTATATAAAACAACCATAATAGTGTCTCACTTAAAGTTATTTTCTACATTTTACTCTTGTATACCTAGTACTATTTTTGTTAGACTAAATTGGTAGAAGAAAAATATGTTTGGGTTTTCTTAGGCCGGCCCGGCCGGGAGCCCGGGACTGGTTTGATATAAAAGTTTCTCAACTCTTCATTTATGCATTGTGCTTGTACAGTTGTACTCGGTTAATGTAGCTTAATAGTGTAGATTTCTTAGATAGATTTCAAAGCTTCAATGATAAATACTTTCACAGAAATCAATATAAAGAAAACAAATAGAATAAACATAATTGTATCTTGTAGTTTGTGGGAAATGAGGATAATGTCCAAATAATCTATAGTAAGGTCAAGATGTTAGAATGAGATCTAGTCACGTCATAACTCATAAGTGTGTTTTTTTGGCAAAGGTTTCTAACTTATAGTAGTATATATTCTATATTAACTATTAAAGTCAACATCTTTGAACTAGGATGATATTCGAACATGTGATCTCTCTTGACAGTGTCACAATGATGTTATCAGACCACAAAATATTTGACACTAAGTGCATTACAAATATCAGACCACAAGATACTTGCCACTAAGTGCATGACAATTAAATTGTAGCGTTCATCAAATTGTAAATTTAAAGTAAATTTGGAAGATGTGGCTTTCAGCCCTGATTACTCCAGGACCCCCAAGCCCCCCTCCACGAGACTCCCTTGGAGTAAAAAAAGGAAGATGTGGCTTTGTTTGGTTGCTTATGTCATTTTACAACTAAGATATGCATGTTCCTCAGAGATTTAGTGTAAGGAATAATTGTAATTAGATTTTGATGATGCTAGATTAATTAGGACTTTAGAGTACCCCTTTAGAAATTATGTATTAGAATTTTCCTTTGTAAAGTTCTTAGAATAATCGACTTGACAGAAGACCTTCAAGAGCAGAAGGGCTTCAAGAGCAGAAGGACTTCAAGAGCAGAAGTGCCTCGTAAGGCTTTATTGTAACAGAGGACCTTTGGTTCTCTGCTCCAGAACAGAAGACCTCAGGGTCTCTGTTAGCCTTCACTCTGACAGAAACCCTTCTGGGTCTCTGTTGGATATTCTCTCAACAGAAGTGCTCCAGACCTCCTCTGTTCTATTCTCAGATAAAGACACCAGAAGGTCTGACACTTAGAAGAATTTCAAAGAACCGGGAAGTCAACTAAAAGATTCCTTCAACGGCTAGGAGTATGAAACGGAAAAGCTACAGTACACGCATTAAATGCTCATTTAATGCACCCCATGCTACGTAGAGTAATTGCAGATGATTGGCCGCAATGTCAGGAATACTCTATCCCAAAATAGTAACCCGCCAACTTTACCGGGCTCTACTAGTCAAGTCAACTGATCGCGCATTAAATGCAGTTGTCCTCCTACTCCTCCAACGGGAAGACAACCTCAGTATAAAAGATACACTACGAAGAACAACCGGATAACTTTGCCAAGATAACTTTTGTTAACCATTTGCTACAAACAAGATATTCAAACTCTGAAAAAGCAAAAAGCCTCCTTGAGATTCAACCTCATCATCTTCTACAAGAGAAGACAGAAGTTGGAAAAATACTTTTTCCAACTCAAGCAAAGTTCCAAGTGTTCTTCAACTCTTCAAGCTCATCACATACAAATCCTTTGTAACGAAGCTAGTTGGAGGAACCCCAGTTTCAACAGAAACTCTTCTTGCTACAAGAAGGAGGTCCAAGTAACTGGAGTAGTGAAGTTGTGATACTTCAAGGAAACTCAGTGAAAGGACCAGTGTTAAAGGAAGCCAGGCAGTGCATCCCAGAACACATCTAGACTTGAAGAAGACGTGGAGTGCTTCTTAAGTACTAGGACTAAGGCTTTGTAAACGGCAGTTTTTACAGCTTAGTGGAACAGTGGACTAGAGGAACAAGTTGTTCCTTGAACCACTATAAAAATCCCTGGTGTCGTTTACTTACTGCTTTAATACTTGCACTTACATAGAACCGTCTAACTCCTTGGACTTGGTATCTGTGTTCAGCAGAACTTGTTCTACGAGTTAACAGAAGGTCTACTGCCTTTGCTTCTCTGAGGCTAACAGAACTCCCTACCAGAACCTCATCCGCTGCCAGTCTGTTCTTTCAACAGAACAGGCTATTCTGTAAATCTGGTGCTTAGTTCAAAAAGCTAAACACCAATA